GTTATCCATGCATGGAGTTATATTTTACTGATATGACTAAGAAGATTTAAAATCTAACTATGGAGTAGAGATTAGATGCTGTGGTCACTGCCCAGGGAAAGCTGCCATTCCCTGCACTGGTAAACTTTTTCCAAACCAATGATGACTGTCCTGGAATTGGAATTGAGGCAGTTCATGTCTGTAGGTAACACTTCTGTGTCTGGCTGAGAGCAGACTTTTCCAAACCAAACCACGCCAGCTGTAGCTTCTATTGCCTCCTTTGTCAAAAGACACCTTCAAACATGGATTTTACTCAAGTGCTCTGAAGTATTCACCAAACCACCGTATTGCTCTTGGGTTTGGGTCTTGGTCCCCGCCAATGAATACTTTATATTGCTGTAAGACCTGAGTGGATCTAGTCTGGATAAACACCCAAGAGGCACCTTGGGTCTTCGAAGCTCCACTGCCAGCAGTGCAGGGGCAACAAGGAGGCTTGCTAAATGCAGCTTGGCCTTTATCCCTCCAGACCTGCCATTCAGGGAACAGGAGGTGGGGAAAGAATGGGGAATAGTAGCCAAAGGGGTAAAGGACAAAAAAAAAGACAATGGTCTCCCTCCCTCCTCGAACCAGCCTGTTGTTTTTCTATCTACTTGTGCAGTTTTCCAGGTTTTTGCTGCTTTCTTTTCCGTCCTGATGCCTGAGCTGCCACTGGCTTAAAGTTAGGGTCAATGTAGCAGTGAGCAGAGGACTTGTGTTCTCGCGTGTACCTCTGCTGAGGTGCCGGTGCTTTTGCTGAAGGCCATCACTGGATCTAGTTCTAGCATTTGGAAACATCCCATCCTGCTTCTCTAATGCTGAGCCCCATGTCTCCTTTAACGTTCTCAGGTGCTGTTCACAAGTCTTCCTGTAGTCCATGTGTATGCTGTTAGCACGGCAGCACTACACGACCCAAAGAAGCAGCAAGGAAGTGTGTACTCCTGCCCTGTCTACAAAAAGCCCCGGAGAACAGATCTGACGTACATTTTCTCTTTGTATCTGAAAACAGTGAAGAATCCTGATCATTGGACTTTACGGGGAGTTGCGCTGCTCTGCAGTTCAAAATAAGGACAGATAGCTGTTAAAAAAGAACCACCTAGAAAGATTAATCTGCAGCTGGTAGGACTTTTGTTGTTATTGTCGAAGTGGTGGCTACCTTCTCACAGGAGTATGGCAATTAGCAAGTGACATAGAGATTGTGTTAATTGCACATCGTACAGTTTACTCTGTTCACAGCAAAAATACTGATGTATTTATCCTGGAGATATCAGAGGGAAAACAGTTGCAGGTGTAAAAATTGGCAACTGTTATAAAGCAAGTGAGAATGTAATCAACCATCTTGCTCATAATGGAATCATAGGAAAAAAAGTGCTTATGATGGTGACAACTGCTCTAACATTTATAGTGGTTCTTTTGTAGATGTTATCTTTTCTTCTTAATACTAGGCTTCTTCATAATAGAATATAATTATTTTAAAATTCAACTTTGTAGTTAAAAACTTACCATCTGTAGCATTATCAAAGCTGTAATGACAAGTGAATTAAATGTATGGTAAAAAGTTATGTTTAGCTGCATATATGCCAATGCACAGTTGCTTTGATTTTGCATTTATAAACTGACTGGGTGGTTTTACAGATGAATGCTACCATTTCCTTAATAGTCATTTGTTTATGCAAACAATCCTGGAAGTCGTACAAACAGGCGAGTTTATCTTTGCACAAGTAGTGGCCTTTGCATATATTAACTCTTTCCTAAAGCTATATCCCCTTGTAAGGAAGATGTGCACACCCCCGTTTTTAGCAAGAAAGAAGTTTTGAAACTCTTCTCAGAGTAAGCACCAGTTTGGCTCTATGAGTATTCACTCCATTGGCGTTATTGCCTGAACCCTGCAAACTCTAACCTCTTAACTGCTTCTTATTCTGCATTTTGCATCAGTTTAGGTAAAAAAAAAAAAACAAAAAAAAAGTAGAAGACACCCAGGTCATGTCTGGGAGTAGATTCACCTGAATTGAAGTCATTTTTGTGTGTTACCGCCATTGCTGTCTGCCCTGCGATTGAAGGGTGATTGCTACTCCTCTTTTAATAGGCAGCTAGTGGCAGAAAACTCATTTGGCTTTTTTCACCACCACAAATTCTAATCAAAACAAATTGCTGTTGGATGTTATAAAAGAAGGACTTGCAGTGAGTGTTTTGTTAATCACTTTTTTTCTCCTTGTAAACACTTTCAAGTTTTTGTATAAACACTTAGATTTCTTTTCAGCTGGTGTCTGAGAAAGTAGTTTGTCCTTTCCCACAACCAGTTTTACTCTGCAGTTAGCAGCT